CACGTGTACTGGACATGAGTCATAAAATAAATAAGCAGACGCGACGCGAACATCTCCAACATCCGTTGCCCCCCCCCCACACACATCACAATTAGAAACATCGTCATTAGATTCCTACACGTCCCGTCAGTCAGACGGCTTCTTGGAGTGCATCCTGCAGCCACATGGCTTCACAGCACAGCTCGGGGCTGGTTTCGACACGTCAGTGTCCCATCATCGTCAGCAGCAGCTGCTGTGGGAGAGCTGCCGGCCAGCTGCTCGCGAGCAAGCGACGGGTCCTGGTCCAACACGACAGGAGGTAGTAGCATGCGAGCATCGCGATAACCACGCTCACAGGATCATCGGGTTAATATAGTACGGGAATAAAACACGATCGTTATGGAGAGGCGCAGCTGGTGTTGTAGTGGTAGTGCCTTACGCCGACAACCCGGACTCCGAGCGGCGTTGCGGGAGACGCCGCGTGAGTGTCAAGAGCTGGCATAGGCCACGGCAGCAGGCGGCACGGCACCTCGGGGAGCACACAACGCCCCGACCCTCCGTCGTGGCGACCTCGTTACCGACGGGGCGATTCGCTCGATTCGCCTCGCGTCTGTCCCAGCGCGCACTGCGAATGGGCCCCGTCGGGCACGGAAGCAGCGCGCCACGTGACGGCCACGTGACGGCCACCTCGCCCGCATGGTCTCGGCGCGAGTAGAGGGGGGGCATCTGCTGCTGGGGCGAGCAGGCGGGGCCCATTCTACACTCCCCCACGCTCAACAACAACATCATCATCATCCTCAAGATGATCACGCCATGCCAGTTTGTACATTATTGCGTTTTTCCCTCCAGCTCAGTGGCCCTGGCAAGAACAGCTGGCAACCCACTCGCATTCTTTACACGTTTTGTTAAACCAATTCGTTTTTAATTACCAGTTAAGGCTCCACTGAGCTATGTCGATTTGTTTTTTCCAGAAGTGACCAGGCTATCACAAAACGACCGTTCGACGAAGTGAACTGGCTTGTCGTGTGGACATTGATAGCAGCCAACACACTCGAAACGCGGGATTGTTGATTCTCAATGCGGAGGGGGAAACCCGGAGAGATAAAAATCCACGCGACCACGGGGAGAGAGAAAAACACGCAAACTCCAAATACACAGGAATGGTCAGGGTCGGGTTCGAGCCCACGGACCTCCTGCATACCAGGCGAGGTAGTCAACATCTCATAGCCACCGCGACTGCTGATGACGCCCAACACAACGCAATCCGTCCCAGAGTTTGCGTGCTTCAACGCGCTCTCGTCTCGAGCGCCGCAAGTTCGGCACGGTCAACAGGCTGGCGGACTGTACACAAATAAACATCGACATCCGATTCTGGATGTGTGTGTGTTTGTGTGCAGACAGCGTGCGACGAAATCGCATCTCCGCGATCCGATTGGGGCCGGCAATGGGTCCATTCTCTCCCTACAGGGTGCTGCATTCTCTAGAACTTTACATTTTCTTGAAGGTTTAGAAAACAGAAATGAATACGCAAAGGAAAAAATGTTAGGGGCAATGAATTGGGGGAGGGGGGAGTCACAAGACATCTGGACCACGCGGTGCCAGGTTTTCCCATTGCAAGAGAATGAATCTCAATGCGGTGGCCACTGGTTCAATAGAGCGCGCCGACTCCTCACCGCAATGGGCTCTCGACTCGAGGCCAAGTGACGCTCTTCATCAACAAGCAGACCCACAGCACGCGCCTCGCCACTCACTCGCCGCTCCTCACGGCTCCGTGATGCCGCGTGGCCGACACGAACCTGTCCCCGTCACATCTGGCGACCCATAAAGACCCCCCCCACCCCCCACCCCGCGCCGTGTAGCCTTGACAGACTCTAGGGGAAAGTGCTGTTAGCGAGCACCTGTGAAGTACACGGGGGGTGGGTGGCCAGCGCCACGCCCGGCCGCCTTTGTCTCCCCAGTGGAGATGTTCACTACTACACACCGCACCAGGTACTCATTTGAGGCTGAGTCTACCTAGGGGAGGCCCAAGAACGGTTCAGATAATCCCCGACACGCTCACACACACACACGAGCGCGTGTGCAGTGTAAGCAGCACAACTGGGTGCCGTTTCTCTCCGGTAGTGCACATCGACACGACCAGCAACACGTCTCGTCGTGCTCACGGGGTGCACGACCCGTCACCCGACTGCAGTGGGTACGAATTAGGGGGGGGGGGGACTTGGGAGGGAGATCCCCCAGAGGTTTTCATATTCAATGTTTGTATTTTACCTCGATCCAGCAGTGGATCGATCAAGGCTGCCGACGATTGGATGGCGTCAGCCCTTCCGTCCGCAGAGGGTGGATAAAATAGGTACCACAGAGTGGTTGTTTGGATGGCTCAAGGGGTTCGTAATGGCTAGGTCCGAGCGCTGATCCAGTATCCTGGGCTCGAAAGCCGGGTTCCAGCCGGCGCCTGCGGTGGGACCGGCTTCTCAAAGCTCGGGGCCTCGGCCACCGATGGCTTCACAACAACAAAAACAACAAATAACAACAAAAACAACAACAAAACAACAACACATCATCACACATTTGCTTTTCCCCACTTGAACTGGAAAATAATCGTCCGCGAGTGCCGGGGCGCTTCCAACAGCAGGGCATGTTGAAGAGGAAAATGGGGAAAAGCAAAACGACAATTTGGCCGAGCCGAGCCGAGTTAGCAGCAGCAGCAGCCACTGGCGTGGAGACGTCTCCACAGGCAATGTGAGGCATTGACAAAGCGCGTACTACAGGAACACGGGAAACAACGCACGCTTGTCGCAGTAACGATTCACCCTCCACGACACAGACATCGTGAGAGATATACTGGATGTGGTGGTGGTGGTGGTGTGTGTGTGTGAATTGTTCTGGGAAGGCATCGGCAGAGTAAAGTGGTACCGTGGCAACATGCTTGATTGGGGTTTTTGTGCCCCCCCCCCCTCTCCATCTCTCCCTCCACTCCTTCCCATCTTGCTGCGTAATCTGCTACCGCTGCCACCGCAGCGCTAATCCGATCGCCGAGCGAGTTATTTAAATCTGCGTCTCCTGCGACTGTGTCAAGCGATTTGGGCAGAGACGCCCGCCGGCTCTTTCGGCAACCACTCGGTCCCCCCCCCTCCCCCCCAGTCGCCCCCCTCCCCCCCCAGTCCCCCCCTCCACTACAAGTGGCAATCAGCGCGGGCCCCCGCGAAATCAACAGCGCTCCTCTGCACACCGCGCCGCCACGTGAACACGCAGCGTCGTCCGTTACACGCCCCGGTGGTGTATCGCTCCATCACTCACCCAGGATTGCCACCTGCTCTGGATTTCCCAGGAACCCTCACCTCTGACTGACTGCACGTATATAGACTCGTTGTATATAGACTCGTTGTATATAGACTCGTTGTATGTCATCTGGTTAGAATGTCGTCTGGTTGAATGTCGTCTGGTTGAATGTACGGCGTTCCCTAGATTCCCACGCCACTTTGTTGAAGTCGAAGTTGGGCGAGAATCCCATCGTCCGCTCGGTGTGCGTACGTGTGTATATGTGTGTACGTGTGTACGTGCGTGTGTATACGTGCGTGTGTATACGCGTGTACACGCGTGTGCGTGTACGTGCGTACGTGCGTGTGTACGTGTGCGTACGTGTGTACGTGCGTACGTGCGTGTGTACGTGTGCGTACGTGTGTACGTGTGTACGTGTGTACGTGTGTGCGTACGTGTGCATACGTGTACGTGTGCGTACGTGTGTACGTGTGTGTGTACATATCAGGGAAGTGCGGTAGGGGAGGCAGAGGAGGCAGGGGAGGCAGAGCCTCACATGTCATACTCCAATGAAAACAGCTGTTACGAAAAGTGAAAAAAAAGAATAATTAAATAAAATAAATATTAAGATTTTTCCACTGATCTGTGTTATAAATGTCATCTCTGTACGATTCCAATAATTTTTATAGTCGAAATCGCCAAATTTGCGGAGCTCCGCTGCAAATACAGGAAGAGACGAGAGGTGAGGCAGCGACGAGCTCAGCCTCCCCTCCGATTGCGCAACCCCTCAGTAACTGGATGGAGCGCGGTCAATAAGCGCGTCCCTGTCACTATCTCAGTATGTCACCAATGTATTGTTTGTAGACCCCTTCATTTCATCTCCTCGCCTTCCATACTCCAGGTAATTTATTGCACGTTTGTGTATTTGGATATTTAGGCTCGCTGGTCTCGTCATGAAACTGCAATGAAAAAGTACCAGGGGAGGCAGCTATCACATCTGCCTCACTCCATGAGGCCACGCCTCCCTCAGTGTGCAAATCTGGCTCTGACACAAGCCAGTGCCTCCCCAGCCATTGATCTCACCGCACGTCACTGCTGTACGTATGTGTGTGTGTACATGTGTGTGCACGTATAATGTGTACGTACGTGTGTGCATAACTTTATTAGGTGCGCCTTACTCTCCGGAACACCTTAATTCATGATCTGGCAAGACACCTGCACAGTCTCCTCTGACTGAACCAAACGACCGTCTCATTGGCTCACCCCACGGTCCCCGACACTACCCAAGCGTGCGAGACAAAGCAAAGTTGATGTTAAAGACCCTCTGTGTGTGCATCTCACACCATCGCCCGTCGCTCACAAATTGTGCATTGTGTGATCACCCCCCGCCCCCTCCCCCCGTCGCTCCGCTGCTGGATGAGTTACCTCCCCACATCACGAGCGGCGGAGGTGGGTCGACCAAATCCATCGCCGGCTTCACCGCGACCACCACGCCGTCTACCTCCAACCACCACCACTACCGAGAATAGCACACAACACAACAACAACGCCACCACCACCACTACCGAGAACAGTACACAACACAACAACACCACCACCACCGCCGCCCCCCCCCCTTCCTCCACCACAAAGACAAAAAAGCCCCAATAGCCGTACAGACTGCTGGGGAAAGTGCATTTAGCATCTCCCCACACGCATAGACAAAGATCACCCGTGCAGCCTCCACAGGCTGTTGGAGTAAGTGCTGTTAGCGAGCAGCACCTACGAAGGCAAGCTTGGTGTACAAAGAGGTGGTGTGGCCGGAACCACGCCGATCCGCCTTTGTCTCCCTAGTATTCATGCTGAGTCGACCTATGAGAGGGTGCCAGCAGCGGTTCCGATGATCGCCACCCATGTCCGTGTGGTCGGGGAATTGAACATGAATCGCTGGGTTCACGGCGCAGTGCAGCGCTAACCCACTGCGCCACCGCTCCCCACACTCACACAATCTCCGGCAACACCCTTGCACACCCATACCCACACATACCCACACATGCACACCTAACGCACGACCGCCACCAACACACACTATTACACCACCCTCACTCACACGTGCTCTACACAACAAAAACAGCCGACATTCGGCGCTACGTGACGGGAGACGTCGTCGCAGCGCTTGTGCCAGGCTAGGTGCACACTTACAGCGCGCTCGCTCGCACCCTCTCTGGAGTTCACTCGGCTGCCGTCTCTCCGTCGCATCTCCCCCCCCCCGCCACTCTTCCTGCCCCCCCCCGCCACCCACTCTTCACGACGAGGTGCAAGGCGATTGTTTTTTTTGGGGGAGCGGGGGGGGCTCGTGTCCAGATGAGCCGTGGAGCCTGGGACGACCTGGAAGCCGATAGACGGAGGGACGAACGGGCGAGCGGGCGGACGAGCGGGTGGGCGAGTCCACCACAGAGGCTGAGGCTACTTGACCTTCTGTGTCCACTTCAAGTCGTCCGCACGCGGCTTCTCGCCCGTCACCATCTCAATGAGTCTCTCTAGCCTCGCCCAGAAGCCCAGAAACTCCAGGGGGTAGTTCAGCCAGCCTGGGGCAGGGGGGGCAGGGGGGGCAGGGGGGGCAGGGGGGGCAGGGGGTGTGGGGGGCGGGCGATGAGGGCAGGAGTGGTCTGGCTCGCACAAGGTCGTGGTGCGCAGATCTCCGACGGTGACGATGCAGCAGGGGTATGCGTGGCGGCGGTGGCAGCGGTGGTGGTGGGGACAATGGCGGTGATGATGGCGGTGATAATGGCGGTGAAGGCGGTGGTGGTGGCGGCGGTGATTGCAACGGCGGTGGCGACAGTGGCGGTGGTGATGGCGGTGATAATGGCGGTGGCAGCGGTGGCGGTGGTGACAGCAGCGGTGGTGGGGACAATGGCGGTGGTGGTGATGGTGATAATGGCGGTGGCAGCGGTGGTGGTGGTGGCGGTGGTGACAGCAGCGGTGGTGGTGGTGGGGACATTGGCGGTGGTGATGGCGGTGATAATGGCGGTGGCGGCGGTGGTGGCGGCGGTAGTGACAGCAGCGGTGGTGATGGCGGTGATAATGGCGGTGGCGGCGGTGGTGACAGCAGCGGTGGTGGTGGTGGGGACAATGGCGGTTGACGGCGGTGGCGGCGGTGGTGGCGGCGGTGATTGCGACAGCGGTGGTGACAGCGGCGGTGGTGGTGGCGGTGGTGACAGCGGTGGTGGTGGTGGTGGTGACAGTGGTGGTGGCGGTGGTGACAGCGGTGGTGGTGGCGGTGGTGACAGCGGTGGTGGTGGTGGTGACAGCGGTGGTGGTGGCGGTGGTGACAGCGGTGGTGGTGGTGGTGACAGCGGTGGTGGTAGCGGTGGTGACAGCGGCGGTGGTGGCGGCGGCGAAGTGCCGGGGTGCGCCGCCCACCGGTCGTGATGCAGAAGTAGGTCTCGTGCGGCGCCACGTGGTGCACGCGGTGGTGGCGGCGCGGCAGGACGATGTGCGCCGCCTGCAGCGCGGTGACCCAGCGCGGCAGCCCGAAGTAGGTGTGGGACCACTTGTGGATCTGGTTGGTGAGCGTGACGAACACGGCCAGCGCAAACACGTAGCACTCCCACGCGTATGTCTCATGCACCGCCTCTGTGGAGGGGGGAGGGGGGGGTGAGTCGAGAACGCCGGGCGCTGGCGATACGATCCTCGAGTCTCGAAGACGGCCGCTTACGTTTCGGTTCCCGAGGAAGCTGCGGACAGCGTGGGGCTAACCGTAGGACGTGGTCCCGGCTCACGCACGTACGGTCGTACGGTCGTACGGTCCGTCAGCCGACTAAGTTTGTAGAGAGACAGCTCGCCAGGACTGGGCAACACTTAGCCCACTTTTCACCCAGGCAACTGCAGAGCAGCACAGACTAAGTGTTAAATTTAAAACAGTGTGAGCGCCAACTGAACGCCACGAGGAAAAAATGTTTGCAATTTAAAAGCGCTACAGGACTTGGAACGCCACAGCCCGGAGCCGTATGCGATCGCTCTTTGAGGACCGCTTAGTCACGTTATTTACGAAGGACCACCCCCTCTCGTATCCATCACAGGCACTGCGGCTCTTGAAGTCGAGGTTTTTTGTTGTTTCACCGAATTCGAGAATAAATTACTCTTCTTGTTACTTTGCTCACCGATCCCCTGGCCAGCGCGATAATAACCCAGACCCAGGCAAGAGAAACGGTCCATCGCGGCACTCCACATCCCTCACGTATCAGTACCTTCACATTAAACAAAACTGCATGTCTATTATTCTAACACATAAGGCCCACCGAGCTATGTAGCTCTACTTCAGAAGCGACCTGGCAATCACAAATGGTGGCCCAACGAAGTGGTGCTTATCGCGTGGGAATTTACAGTGGCCGAATACTCCAGACGTGTAACGTTGATTCTAAATGTGGAGGGGAAGAATCGGAGGACTCGGAGAAAAATCCACGCGAATACGGGGAGAGACACCGCAAACTCCAACCATACAGGCGACAGGGTCGGGATCGAACGCATGACGTCCTGTACACCAGGCAAGGCAATTAACACCTCACCACCCCTTCCCCCCGGCCACCCCTATACTTTTTTTTTATAGCCACACGCAATCGTCAACACCTATATGGACTTCAATTTCGATTTAAAGTCTTCGTGACTGCAGGGATTCATCTTCTTGGTTCTTTCGGTAAAGTCACGTACTAGGGGAATAATAAAATAATAAAAATAAAACACAATAAAATAATTCTCACGACGTTTCGGCCACAACGCAAGCAGCCGTCCTCATGTGAAGAACAGGTCTGTCGAACAGAGGACGGCTGCTTGCGTTGTGGCCGAAACGTCCTGAGAATTATTTTATTATATTTATTTTTATTATTTTATTATTTCCCTTCTACGTGACTTTACCGAAAGAACCAAGAAGACCTATGTGGACGTTTGTTAGAGGCGCTGACAGTTTATCAAACGTTATGTTCAGGAAAACAAATAACTGCTTCTGTGTGCATGTGTGTGCAGTTGTGTGTATAGTTGTGTGGGAGCAGTGGCGCAGCGGTTAGCGCACTGCACTACGAACCCGATGACCCGAGTTCTTTCATTCCTGTCCACGACCAATAACAGTGGCGAATATCTGAACCAATCCTGCGCCTCCCCTAGGTGGACTTAGCCTAAAAAAAATACCTGGTGCGATGTGTAAAACATCGTTACTGGGGAGAAAAGGGCGGTGGGGCGTGGTGCTGGCCGCCCACCCCCTCGTGTGCCATGCCGGCCGTCATAGGTGCTACTCGCTAATAGCACTTGCCCCAACAACCTGTTGAGTCTATACTGGGGATCTTTTGTCTTTGTGTGATTGCGTGGTGGCTTCTCAACTGGCAACGCACCGCAGGCAATTTGGCTCGGCTACGGTGCCTTGCAACGGAAATCGATTTCTCATGCTCGTGATTTTGTTTTATTTTCGTTTGCACCCAAAATCAGAGCCAAGCGAACGAACGAGAGCAACGTGGGCACGGCGGTTATGAAGGCACTGCACTACGAACCGGGCCACCCGAGTTCGATTCCCGCTCACAGCCACCACCGGTGACAGCAAATGTCTCAACAGGTCCTGGGGGCCTCAACTCGGCATCAAACGATGGGTGCTGCGGTGGCGAGATGTTGACTCCCTCGCCTGGTACGCAGGAGGTCAAGGGTTCTATCTCGACCCTGACGCCTGCTGCTGTACATTTGGAGTTTGCGGTGTCTCTCTCTCCCTGTGGTCGCGTGGATTTTTCTCCGGGTCCACCGGTTTTTCCTCTCCACATTTGGAATCAACATCATCACGTGTTTAGAGTATTTGGATGCTGCTTTAAATTCCACACGACAAGCCACTTTGTTGAGCTATAATTTGTGGCCAGGTCGCTTCTGAAAAAAAGTTTTATAGCTCAGTAGGCCTTACCTGGTAAAATAAAAAGTTTATCCTTTATAGTTTTAGAACATGGAGTTATGCAAAAAGGGAGTGGCGGCGCAGTGGTTAGCACATTGCACTATGAACCCGGCGACCCGAGTTCTATTCCCACCCACAGGACAACATCTGTGACGAATATGTGAAGTGGTCCCGATCCTCCCCGAGGTCTACTCAGCCTCAAACAAGTACCCGGCGCGACGTGGTGCTGGCCACCCGCCCCGTCGTGTGCCGTACCGGCCTTCACCGGTGTTGCTACTGGCCTGACGGCACTTGCCCCAACAGTCTGTTCAGTCTTTACGGGGAATGTACGTATGTTAAACTTATATCGCACTGTACGCAGCCAACCGTGCAAATTGGAGGTGCGGGGGGGGGGAAGTAAATGATGAGTTTGTGAATCCTTGATGATGATAATTTAAAAGTGCATGGCTCCCTGTGGCTTCCTCATATCAGAAGGAAGAGCGTTCCAGACGGGCACACAAGCGCGCGTGAAAGCAGCGCGCGACGATCCGGTGGCCGCCTTCGGGGTGCGTGGCTGTGCGTGCGTGGCTGTGCGTGCGTGGCTGTGCGTGCGTGGCTGTGCGTGCGTGGCTGTGCGTGCGTGGGGGACGCACCGGGGGACAGGGTGTGGAACTTGTAGGCCATGTGGGAGAGCGGCAGCAGCGTGGCGAGGCAGTTGTCCCCGTTGGTCTCCACCAGGTCGTGGCGCGTGATGGCGGTCGGGTCGATGTGGTGCTCGCGGAACGGCCGGATGAACGCCTGCTCACCGCAACAACAACCACAATGGCAACAACCACAATGGCAATAACACCCACAAAGGCAACGACAACAACCACTACAACACTACAACAACCACAAAAACAATGACGACAACAAACACAACCACGACCACTACAACCATAACAAATACAACCACAACAACAACCACAATTATGACAATAACCACGACAATAACAACCGAAACAACCACAACAATAACCACAACAACGACCACAACAACCACAACAATAACGACAACAACGACCACAACGACCACAACAACCACAACAACCGCAACAACAACGACAACGACGACGGTTTAATGGTTAAAAACTTTCTTTTTTTTGCGCTGTGGTCACCAGTGACGGAAGCTGCTGCTGCTGCCCGCGGTGGAGTTTAAACTATTAAACTCATTCAACATTTTACATTTTATTTGACCAGGTTAAGGCCCTATGAGCTATGTAGCCCTTTTTCGGTAGCGACCCGGCCACAAACGAGAGCTCAACAAAGTGTCTCATCATCACGTGCACGTTTATAGCAGCCAAAGTCTAAACGCGTGATGTTGGTTCCACGCTACCATGGGGTGAGAGGGAGACGTGCAAACTCCACATATACAGCAGGCGTCAGGGCAGCGATCAAACGCGCAACCTCCTGCATAGCGGGTGCGAGAGATGACATCTCCGAGCCACTGCGGCACCCCCGGTGTCACGGTGAGCACACTGGTCACGCATCGCAGCCGCCACCCAGTCGACACCAAACCACCCAGCACCGCAGGCGAAGGCGCAATTCTCTTACATCCCCGTCCATCCCATCCCTCCCGCCCGCCCGCCCCACCGCAACTATCTCTGTCCACCCAGCCTGCAATCAGAACACGATGTGGGGTAAAGTGTCGATACCCCCTGACCTATTCCAACACGTACCGACCAGCGTGGAAGGGCAAGCCGGAAAATACCCCCCAGAGGAGTTCACAGCTCCTGTGGAGCCCACCCCCCCCCAAAGGAGTTCACAACTCCTGTGGAGCCCCCCCCCCCCACCCAGAGGAGGTTCACAACTCCTGTGGAGCCCCCCCACCCAGAGGAGGTCCACAGCTCCTGTGGAGCCCCCCCCCCCAGAGGAGGTCCACAGCTCCTGTGGAGCCCCCCCCCCCCAGAGGAGGTCCACAGCTCCTGTGGAGCCCCCCCCCCCCACCCAGAGGAGGTCCACAGCTCCTGTGGAGCCCCCCCCCCCCAGAGGAGGTTCACAACTCCTGTGGAGCCCCCCCCCCCCACCCAGAGGAAGTTCACAACTCCTGTGGAGCCCCCCCCCCCCCAGAGGAGGTCCACAGCTCCTGTGGAGCCCCCCCCCCCCACCCACCCACCCAGAGGAGGTTCACAACTCCTGTGGAGCCCCCCCCCCCACCCACCCACCCAGAGGTCCACAGCTCCTGTGGAGCCCCCCCCCACCCCCCCAGAGGAGTTCACAACTCCTGTGGAGCCCCCCCCCCCCCCCAGAGGAGTTCACAGCTCCTGTGGAGCCCCCCCCCCCCCCAAAGGAGGTTCACAGCTCCTGTGGAGCCCCCCCACCCAGAGGAGGTTCACAGCTCCTGTGGAGCCCCCCCCCCAGAGGAGGTTCACAGCTCCTGTGGAGCCCCCCCCCCCCCCAGAGGAGGTTCACAGCTCCTGTGGAGCCCCCCCCCCCCACCCAGAGGAGGTTCACAACTCCTGTGGAGCCCCCCCCCCCCCCCAGAGGAGGTCCACAGCTCCTGTGGAGCCCCCCCCCCCCCCACCCACCCACCCAGAGGAGGTCCACAGCTCCTGTGGAGCCCCCCCCCCCCCAGAGGAGGTCCACAGCTCCTGTGGAGCCCCCCCCCCCAAAGGAGGTTCACAGCTCCTGTGGAGCCCCCCCACCCAGAGGAGGTTCACAGCTCCTGTGGAGCCCCCCCCCCCCAGAGGAGGTTCACAGCTCCTGTGGAGCCCCCCCCCCCCCAGAGGAGGTCCACAGCTCCTGTGGAGCCCCCCGCCCCCACCCACCCACCCAGAGGAGGTTCACAACTCCTGTGGAGCCCCCCCCCCCCACCCACCCACCCAGAGGAGGTCCACAGCTCCTGTGGAGCCCCCCCCCCCCCCAGAGGAGGTCCACAGCTCCTGTGGAGCCCCCCCCCCCAAAGGAGGTTCACAGCTCCTGTGGAGCCCCCCCACCCAGAGGAGGTTCACAGCTCCTGTGGAGCCCCCCCCCCCCAGAGGAGGTTCACAGCTCCTGTGGAGCCCCCCCCCCCCCCAGAGGAGGTCCACAGCTCCTGTGGAGCCCCCCGCCCCCACCCACCCACCCAGAGGAGGTTCACAACTCCTGTGGAGCCCCCCCCCCCCACCCACCCACCCAGAGGAGGTCCACAGCTCCTGTGGAGCCCCCCCCCCCCCAGAGGAGGTCTACAGCTCCTGTGGAGCCCCCCCCCCCCCAGAGGAGGTCCACAGCTCCTGTGGAGCCCCCCCCCCCCCAGAGGAGGTCCACAGCTCCTGTGGAGCCCCCCCCCCCCACCACACCCCCCAGAGGAGTTCACAACTCCTGTGGAGCCCCCCCCCCCAGAGGAGTTCACAGCTCCTGTGGAGCCCCCCCCCCCAGAGGAGTTCACAGCTCCTGTGGAGCCCCCCCCCCCCAGAGGAGTTCACAGCTCCTGTGGAGCCCCCCCCCCCCCAGAGGAGTTCACAGCTCCTGTGGAGCCCCCCCCCCCCCAGAGGAGTTCACAGCTCCTGTGGAGCCCCCCCCCCCCCCAGAGGAGTTCACAGCTCCTGTGGAGCCCCCCCCCCCCACCCACCCCCCCAGAGGAGTTCACAGCTCCTGTGGAGCCCCCCCCCCCCAGAGGAGTTCACAACTCCTGTGGAGCCCCCCCCCCCCAGAGGAGTTCACAGCTCCTGTGGAGCCCCCCCCCCCACCCACCCCCCCAGAGGAGTTCACAGCTCCTGTGGAGCCCCCCCCCCCAGAGGAGTTCACAGCTCCTGTGGAGCCCCCCCCCCCCCCAGAGGAGGTTCACACCTCCTGTGGAGCCCCCCTAGAGGATGCCCCTCTATCCCGCAGTCCACTCAGCGCATGCAAACATTTCCGTGGACCACCCAGCCCCCCCCCCACCCTTACTGACAAAACGCATTCACTTCATCTCTATATAAATGCCACTCACACAAAATGATTCACATTACCGGAAAATAACAACATATATATTTAAATGCAACGATAGGTTTTGTTTTTTGTTTTCTGGGAGGGCATTTATATGTTAGGGTTGGGGTAGCTAAATCAGGGGAGTTTAACCTCACTTTTTACAAATTAAATATCACGATAAGAATATTGCCTAATGTCCGAAACAAACTATTGTCATTATTGTCTTGATCAACCTGCACGGCCATCACAGCCCGCGGACCACCTGGAACATCAATGAACAAGAATCAGAATGTTCACGCTCTACTGCAGGAGCAATGTGATGAGCTATAAAGATCTTTTTTTCACGGATGTCCAGTAGGAGGCACGGAGTCAGAACGCGACGACAACAACAGTTACAAAACACACGGTGGTCGTAGTGCAAACTACAACAAGGTAAACAAAGTCACCCAAACACAAACAAATACAACTAAACCATCCCCATCCTGGCAGGCAAAGCCCACCGAGGTATTAACTTATTGTTCAGAAGCGACCTGGCTACCCACAAACTATACCTCAACCAAGCGGATTGTCATTGAGACACACATTTATATTTATAGCAGCAGATTCATCTCAATAATCTCATTGTGGACCACTGCTGGGTCCGGGGTTCCCACTGGGCAAGAGGAGCTCCCTCCCGTGGCGAGCCCAGCACCAGCAGTGGCGTTTGCGAGCAATCGGAGGAACTAAACCTACTTTTGGCGACCGGACTGTGACCATCAACGAAGCAGGCCATCAACTCGCGTGCACTTGGCGAACCGGTTTCATCACTCTGGGTGGGCGGCTCGAACCGCAAGATTTGAAATCTGAGATCTCAGCGGACGGAGCGCGGCGCCTCTGGCGCTCTGATGACCTCTAAGCCACAGGTCATCTCCTCCTCCCCCACCACCGCTTAAATATTGACAGAGGCACGTGCAAACATGCACGTACACACACGCACAGCACATACAGCACACGCACGGACGCCACCCATTGTGGTACAGCGGTGGAGGTGTGGAGGGTGGAGCAGTGTAAATAAGCAAGTCCCTTAAGTTTGTATTATTATTGTTGTAAACGTTTGTTTTACCCAGCAAAGCCTCACCGGGGTCCAAAGACTTTTTCAGGAGGGTCCTTGCCAAGTTTTGGTTGAAGGGGGCCATGGCTGCTGCTGCTGCTGCTGCAATCGCAACTGAATAGCGTGCGGTGTAAATGTGCGGGGCGCCACGGTGGCGAGATATTAACTACCTCGCCTGGTGTGCAGGAGGTCATGGGTTCCATCCCGATCCCCACCTTGACGCCTGCTGTCTATTTGGAGTTTGCGTTTCTCTCTCTCTCCGTGGTCACGTGGAATTTTCTCCAGGTCCTCTGGTTTTTCCCTCCACATTTAGAGTCAACGTGAGTTTAGAGTATTTAGCTGCAATAAATGCCCACGTGATGAGCCACTTCGTTGAGCTATCATCTATGGCAGCCAGGTCGCTTCTGAAAAAGAGCGATAATAGCTCAGTGGGCCTTGCCTGGTAAAATAAAAATAGTTTTAGTTTTGCTTTCAATTTGTCTAACTTGTCCCCGTTCTTGCGACGACGTCAGGGAATCTTTAACATCCACCGTGGCCGTTACGTCACCGCCGCAGTACTAGCCAGGGCCGCCGCTGGAGTTGAACCGTGGACCTCTGCTGCGGCTACGCCGCGTCACTGCCTCGCGAGGTCGTCCAAGTTCACCCGCGAGAGAGCAGTGCACCACCCCGAGGGCACGATGTCGTTAAATAGACTTCTGTCGGCCCGGCGACCGCCAATAAACCTCGAGTGAGTGAGCAGAAGGTGTAGAGGTCACGGCGACACCCGTATCGACCGCCTCCCTCCCTTCCTCCAGCCCTGCCTCACTCCCTCCAGCCCTGCCTCACTCCCTCATGCTGCACTATGAGACTTTGCAGACCCGGGTTTGATACCCTGCCGCGGATACCATCATTAGCGATTGATATCACAACCAGTCCTGAGCTTCCCCGAGAGCCACTCAGTCTTAAAAGAGTACCACGAGAGGTGTGCATACATCCCCAATGGGGGAGGGGGTGAGGAGGGAGACAAAAGCAACTGGGCTTGGTGCTCGCCACCCACCCCCTCGTGTGCCGCGTCGGCTCAGACGGTGGCGTAGTGGCAACAGAGCCAGAAGCTGCTGGGTTCTGAGTGGAGTTTGTATGTTGTCCCCATTCCTCTGGGGTCTCCGAGTTTTCTCCCACAGTTTAACAGAACACACAAAGGGCACATCGCAATGGCGAAATGATTATCTGCACATTACTCAATTGGGATTCACACGCAGCAGCAACATCTCGCCCGACTGCGAACAATCTCGGCACTAGGCTCCTTGGCAGTAACCTCCAGAGACGACTCAGCGAGGGTTTCCTGGGTAGACAAGTTGAATCGTAAATAAGTAAACAGAGATAAGAGCCCATTTCCACTGGCTGAACAACGACTCAAGTTCGACTCGCACTCGTGGCCAACATCGGTGACGAACATCCGAGTGGTAATGGGCCTCCCCTTAGGTCAACTCAGCCTTAAAGCAGTACCTGGTGCAGTGTGTGAACAACAGCACTGTGGAGACAAAGGTGGGTTCGGACATGCTGCTGGCGACACTGCGAACTAATTAGGTGCACGCTGTGCCAGCCTTCGTAGGTGCTCATAAAGTGCACTTGCCTTAACGGCCCATTAAGATTATACAGGGGACCTTTGTCTTTGTACCTTTCCGAAGATCGGCATGTCCACGGAGCCCCACGTGTCGGCTCCCCAGTGCACCAGACCCGACAGGAAGTCGGCCGTCACCGTCCCGGCCACTGCAATGGAAAAAACGGTGGCACCGTCGTCACGGCAACGGCAAAACGGCGGCACCGTCGTCACGGCAACGGCAAAACGGCGGCACCGTCGACACGGCAACGGCAATTCCGCGGCACCGTCGTCACGGCAACCGTTGAGCCCCACGTGTCGCGCCACCGGCCTAATAAGCAACTGACAAAACATTCAAATGTACCAAACAACTCAACGCCTCCATAAGTGACGCTCTGGCCCTCAAGATAAAGGCGGAGGGCCGATTGTCCAAAACGTCTCCTCATATAAAACAAATCCCTCGGTACGGCAGGAGGCGTTGTAAACAGCAGGACGGCTGAATTAAACAGTTATTACGGGTCCAGTCCTGTTAAGCCGAGGCGACCTGTGGCTGGGTAGGGATTGCCAGCTGCCCTGGCTTGCCCCAGGATCATCCTCGCGTTGAGCAAGGCAACTTGGTGTCCTGGGAAATCTGTGCGTGTTCCCGGGGTAACGTCGAAAGTCCCCGTTTTTTTTATCAATACCAATAAAAATTCACTACTCAAGACAATGCATTCACGCGTAGCCTCCCACCTCCGCTGAGCTTGTCAGATATCCTCCTGCCTCCCCCTCAAGATAGCTCCCGGGATTGTTTTTTGCACAGCAGCGGCTGTGGGGTCGATGGTTCAGAGTATTTGGCTGCTGCTATAGATGTCCACGTGATGAGCCACTTCGTTGCGCTATCATTCGTCATGTCCAGGTCGCTTCTGACAAAATTTCTAAATAGCTGAGTGCACCTTACCTGCTAAAAATTTTTTTAAAAAGCGTAAAGTTAGTTTGCTACTGCTGCAGGACAACTTCTCTCTGCGGTTGTGGCGTCATTTCTCAACGAGTATTTTCCGGGCTCGCTGGTAACAACCGGAGTGGGTGGCATGTCACTAGCAGTAGCCACAGCCATAGTGAGATCGAGAGCGGCAATACTGGATGTGGCGTGCTGGGGGTGGAAACGGTTGGATGATAACAATGCGCTGTACCCGACCCCTAAGGCTGGGTCGAACAAAAACGAGCGAGAGAGAAGATGCAAGGCACTCGGACCAAGCCAGCAGGCGGTACTACACTTTTATTTCACCGGGTAAGGCCCACTGAGCTATGGAGCTTTTTTTTACACACTTTTATTTAACTCACTCTGTCTGTTGTTGTTGTATCCTCAAATCTTGTAACTCAATTTTAACCCACTTCCCAATGTGCTATCGACTGCAAACATCGTATACTTATGTCTTACTGATGACAATACTATATTCTATCATAAAAAATAACACATATATATTTAAACAATCTTTTTACACGCTTTATATTAACTAACTCTGTCTATTGTTGTTGTCGTATCCTGAAATTTTGTATCTCAATTTTAACCCACTTCCCAATGTGCTATCGACTGCAAACTTGGTATAATTATGTAATACTGATGACAATAATATACTCTATCATTTTTTTTAAACTCTTTTTAAACCATCTTTTTTATATGTTATGTTTCGGCTTGGGTCTAATTGTCCACGCTCAACTAACGTTGGCTGTAAATCACCACGGTCCCTTACGTCACGGCAAGCTTCGGGGCCACTTCCTGGAGTCGTGGAGTTTTTCCATTATGATTACAGTACATTTCATTAAAGCGTGTTTTTAAAAAAAGTATTTTTAAATATTACTTATTTCAGAAGCGACCTGGCTATCATACATGATAGCTGAACAGAGTGGCTTATCATGTGGAAATGTATTACAGCCAAATACTCTGAACGCATGCTGATTCTAAATGCGGAGGCAAAACCGGAAGACCTGGAGAAAAATTCAGGGTACTACGGGGGGAGAGAGACATGCAAACTCCAAATATGCAGCAGGCGTCAGAGTTGGGATCGAACCCACACCCTTCTGCGCACCAGCCGAGGGAGATAACATCTCGCCACCAGAGCAGCGCATGGCCAGATTCTAGCGGAGCTACACTTCCTGTGTTTTCCTGTGATCAATCATCCTGTTACCTTCTCCAATCTAACCGTCAGTGATTCTTGAACCGAACCGTTACACCAAAATATGGCAATTGTGTTTTTGTACACGGTTGCTGAGCGCAGGCCCAGAAGGCCATGAAGCTGCCAGCAACAAACAGCACTAATATCAAAGATGTAACAGATATTCTTGGGTCTTTCGGTAAAGTCACGTAGATAGGTTCAAAGAAAATAACAAAAAACTACGACGCTTCGATCGCAACACAAGCGGTCGTCTTCAGGAAAAGGGGGGTTAACTTCCAAGGCAAGCTGCTTATAAGGGGTTTGAAATGGGCGTAGCCCAAACGTGAGCAGCCAATGACAATGTGAGTGGTGGGCAGCCCAACCCGACGGTGGTTGGTTTTCCACCAATCAAAGTGACGAATATTTGAACTCGTCATGGGCCTCCCCTAAGACTTGGCCTCAAATGAGTAGCTGGTGTGTAAACATCGCCACTTGGTAGACAAAGGCAGCCGGGCATGTTACTGGCCACCCACACCCTTGTGCACCGTCCCGACTTTCACAGGTGCTCGATAACAGCCAAGAGTCGTGAATGATTAGTGCACAACCTGCAGCAATAAGGAACAGTGCTCAATCGCCGGTGCTACAGTTAAAATACTGCGCAGCCCCCCCTGCCCCTCCCCCTCCCTGCCTACCCCCAACCACCCCACCTCCAAACATCAAAGCAACAAGATGACCTCTCACCCAGATGACCAGACAGAGCAAACTCCACGTGTAACTTCCAGTATCACCAGAGGTCACCAGCCGCATGTGTTGTATTGACTTTTGGCCGTTATCGATAAGCGCAAACAACAAAGAACGTGTAAAACTTGATCATCTCGGTTTATTTATCGACCGGAAGCGGTGAGGCACGGTCAAACGAGCCTCCGTCTCCATTCAGCAGTGGATTGGCGAAGGTCTGTAGGTTGTGTTTACGTACGCGTTGATGCATCATCCCCCCGGGGGGCAGTTAAAACGAGTATCATTTTGTGGTACCAAATCAGCAGCGCTTGTCCTATGGACAGACTTCCCCCCCCCTACCTTACGAAAGTGGATACTCCACCACTGGCTCCGCAGGACTGTTAACAGGAAATGAGCAGCAATGGCTCGGAGCGGGTTGGAGCCGGGCCGTCGCTCCGTGGCCTGTCACGGGTCGTCACGTGACCAACCGCAGCGGAACGCGCCGTGCGGTTTGAACGCATGCGGTGAAGAGCAAGACCATGCGCTGATGGGATGTGTAAAAAAATATTGGTTGGGTTTTTGTTGATGAAGGAATAGATATGCAAAGGAAGCGAATTTCCTTGCTTATTTATATTGTTTATTATATAATCTCGGCGAACGGCAATGTTTGTGACGAGTTTTGGTAGCCACATTTTAACTGGTTACTATCGTTAGCGATTTTGCGATATTTGGGAACCGGTAATCGATTCCGTTCCTTTTTTTACTTACGGTTAATCGACTCGCAGCCCTCGTCACAAGCGGAGGTGAAAGTGCGTGGTGGGGGGGGGGGGGGGCAGTTTACCGATGGCGATGAGGATGTAGTGAACGTGGTCGACGCTGAAGTTAACGACGAGGTGGTAACCGTTGAAAATGACGAGGATGGCACACAGCATCACGCTCACCCACTCCTGCAGACGCTTACCTGCAGACGAAAGGCGTGGCATTGTAAAGCAACACACGACAGCACCAGGCAGCGCGCTACGGTACAATGCAACAATGTGCAATGCGTTTCAATACAGCCAATACAATTGTGGTCAAAATGCAAAGTGGCGCATATAACACATCGCAATCCACTGCAATACAACACATTAATTGCATTGCAATAAGTCACCACGCTCACCCACTCCAGACAAAGATCCCCCATATAGCCTTAACAGACTGTTGGGGCAAGTGCTGTTAGCGAGCACCTATAAAGGCCAGCACGGCCTGGCTCAGCCCTGACCGCGCCTCCCGTCTCGAACCCGCCAGCAGGCTCCAGTAGGCCTCCAGACGGGGCCCTCCGTGACCCTTACCCCAGTTGCCCCTCTGCCCACACCCCACGCACGCCCCCACCGGCGTGTGTGCTGTCTGTCCACCGCAGTTGCCGCTGCTGTCCACCAGCCGGCGCTATTACACTACACATACATGACAATACAATGGCACAGATTACAACATAATACAAACGAAAACAAAGATCCCCCGTATAGCCTTGACAGACCGTAGGGGCAAGTGCTATTAGCGAGCACCTATGAAGGCTGACAAAGTATGCACAAGGGGGAGGGTGGCCAACTCCATGCCCGGCCGCCTTCGACTCCCCAAGGGTGATGTTTACACACCGCACCAGGGACTCATTTGAGGCCGAGACGACCAAGGGGAGGCCCAGGACTGGTTCAGATAATCGTCAGCGGTGTTGGTGGCCGTTGGTGGGAATCGAACTCGGGTCGCCGGGTGCATAGCGCAGCGTAGCGCTAACCACTAAACTACCACTCCCCATAATACGATACAGCATCACACTCATCCACACCTGTGTACGGGAGGAGGCCCCCAACGTAGCAATCCACGACACCACAAAACGACACACACACTACATGGCAAACATTGCCCAGCTGCCAGCCGGTGCTGCGTACACCTTGTGCCACACAGGGACAGCTGCCACTGGGCCCCCCCCAGGTGAACTGCAGCAGCGCACTGGAATGGTTCAGGTGAGAGGTTATGTAAAGGGCTTTGAGTTGCCAAGGCATTTAAGCAAGCACCCTTTACATAGTGATAGTTTTTTACCCTTTCAACTAGTACAAAAACTGACACCTTTATACAAGGCATTATGTTTGCAATAACCACAACACAAGCAGTCAAAATGCAAACAAAAATAAACAACTCTGATAATGATATGCACTGTCCTTGAAGTTGATTGGTCCACACCCGAGACAGCTTTTCCTAGAGCCTAGTCTCCATTGGTGTTGGACCAGATGACGCCAAAAGGCGTACCCTTTACATGTCCTGCAATGCTTATCATGAACAAACACAATGTATTACAATGCAACGCCACTATGTATTTTGCAAGCTCCTGCAGATGTGTAACATGCAGGAGATTACAAGACACTTGGCTGTCACCTTCTTCCTCATATGGCCGATGTTGACGTAGAGTAAGTTCACATTGACATGTGGTTGAGCCAATTACTTTCGTCAGTTAATTGTGATGGTTGTGGTGATGGTGATAAATGTGATGATGATGGTGATCATTACCGTGGTAATTATTTTTTGTCATGGCAATAGTTATCGTGGTGACGACAGGTGTGGTGATGACGGTGATTGTGGTGATGATGGTGATTGTGGTGATTATCATTAGTTGTGGTGACGGCGATCATGCTGGCAGTTGAGGCTGCTGATGGCTGCTGATGGCTGCACTCTTCAATATTTATAATATTTACGAAGGGAGTGGTGGCGGTCAGGGCTTTGGGGTGGGGAATGAGGCGGTGTGGCGGGGGTGGCGGTGGGAGTCTCATAGATGAAGCGGCAACTCCGGTTACCCCCCCAGCTTGTGAAAAATAAAAAAGTTCGGCAGAATTCTTGACACCGGAGTCACGATGGACCGCACCCTGCCCTGCGCCACACCCGGCGATCCCGCCAGCCGGTGCCTACGTGACGACCGCTTCAGCTGCCCTCAAGGAGGGAAGTTGAGCAGCAGCGGCGGTGACGACGGCGGCGGTGGTGGTGGTGGTGGTGGTGGGGAGCGGTAGTGGTCGCGGTCACTGCGCTACAAACCCGGCGGCCCGAGTTCGATTCCCGCTCGCGGCCAACACCGGTGACGATTATCTGCACCGGTCCTGGGCCTCCCCAGGTCGACAACGCCTCAAACGAGTATCTGGTGCGGTGTGTAAACATGGCCACTGGGGAGACAAAGGCGGCTGGGCGTGGTGCTGGCCCCCCACCCCCTTGTGTGCCGCGCCGGCCTTCATAGGTGCTCGCTAACAGCACTTGCCCCAAAAGTCCGTTCAGGCTATACGGGGGATCTTTGTCTTTGGTGATGATGAGTTACAGTGGTGGACATTGTGGTTATTGTGCAGTTGCGATGGTGATTTTGATGATAACGAAAGTTACTGATGGGGTGATGGAGATGATGCTGGTTGTGACGATTGTGGTCATTATGACGGCGAGATTGGTAGCGATGATGGTTATGATGGTAACGGTCGTGGTGATGGAGATGATTGCGGTCATCTGCTTGTAAAAGAGAGAATGCCAGTTTATGAGCGTTACCAGTAGGGCACTTGGAACCAATATAACGTCCTTTACCCAAGAAAGCTTCATTAAGTCTCAAACCTCTTATTCATGGGGAAACCAGAATTGGTGTAAATTATAAATGTATAATTAGTCATGAATTGCAATCACAATGTAATTGCAATGTGACATAACGATACCACTGTAATCACAATTATAATTCACCCCACTTCCGGAGGACACAGGGTAACATGCACACCTCTTCACGGACTGATACCACAATGCACTGCTCTAGTGCCAGGTTCAGCCGTGCCTCAGTGTGAGATCGAGCACATTCCAGGTGACGTTGTAAGCTTGACTTGCAGGGTAATTACAATCCATGCTAACGGCTCTCTTACACGTCAGACTTTTAGAGCAAAGATTGCATTTTGAAAGTTGCACGCAGTAAGCACCACCTGCCACGCAGACAGTTTGTGAAATGCTTTAATTTCCTAATCAGCAACACTCCGCGGCAGCCACTTTTCATCTCCAGCTCTCACGTCAACACGTCAATCAATACCCATCATTTTGTGCGAATACGTAACACGCCTATGGGTGGAGCCAGCAGTTCCCTTACATAATTGTATTGGACAGAAATCAACATACAGCAGTCATGTTTATAGGAATAACATGTAGTAGGCTTTCACGACCGATATTACTCATAAAGAAATAGTTTTGTGTTAGAGCGCAGAACTACGTGTCGTTAATCCACCACCACCCGACACAGCCAATCAGTTACTAACTCCTTCAGCACACCGCTTGTGTGTTGGAGGGTAAACCCACGACATTTACAATTTGAGTACGACGTTTCGCTGGCGATTACAAGAACCAGCTTCATCAGGCGATTTGCTAGAATTGTGAACAAGTCTTCCTGTTTCCGGTCTTAAATAGAGTAAAGTTACGTCATCACTGTGAGCCTATCAGGTGCGAAGATCTGCAGGGTGTGAATGTAATCATATAAATAACAATTGATTGTTAATCTGAGAGTGTGCAGTACATATTAACGGTTGGATTAGTCACAGTTAATCAACATACAATGGATTATGTTCATCTGAGATTATGCAGTACATATTACCGGTCGGATTAGTCACAGTTAATAAGTAAAATTTATTGATCATCCAGATACTCCGAAATGCACCTGTCACTTGATCGCCAGCTGTCAGCCACCTCTGTATCACTCTTCTGACGCTACTACCATAGTTCCTGTTCTCATGAGGTTCACTCACCGATTCCTCCAGCTATAGTGAGTCTACCAGACTGACCGTGTCGTCTCATCCACAGTGTTCAACCACCACACTGCAGGTCACAACAACTCACTCACCTCAAACTCTCCCATCCATCCACCCACTTACTCACCACACTGGAGGTCACAACAACAACACACTCACCCACTTACTCACCAAACTGGAGGTCACAACAACAACACACTCACCCACTTACTCACCACACTAGAGGTCACAACAACAACACACTCACCCACTTACTCACCACACTGGAGGTCACAACAACAACACACTCACCCACTTACTCACCACACTAGAGGTCACAACAACAACACACTCACCCACTTACTCACCACACTGGAGGTCACAACAACAACACACTCACCCACTTACTCACCACACTAGAGGTCACAACAACAACACACTCACCCACTTACTCACCACACTGGAGGTCACAACAACAACACACTCACCCACTTACTCACCACACTGGAGGTCACAACAACAACACACTCACCCACTTACTCACCACACTAGAGGTCACAACAACAACACACTCACCCACTTACTCACCACACTGGAGGTCACAACAACAACACACTCACCCACTTACTCACCACACTGGAGGTCACAACAACAACACACTCACCCACTTACTCACCACACTGGAGGTCACAACAACAACACACTCACCCACTTACTCACCACACTAGAGGTCACAACAACAACACACTCACCCACTTACTCACCACACTGGAGGTCACAACAACAACACACTCACCCACTTACTCACCACACTGGAGGTCACAACAACACTCACGCACAAACTCTCTCACTCACCACACGGGAAGTCACCCCACACTCACCCACCCATTCCCTCGCCACACTGGAGGTCGCAACAACAACTCACTCACCACAAACTCTCCCACTCTCTCACTCGCCACACGGGGGGGGGGGGGTCACTTACACTTCTCACTGCGCTCCGTCGCTCGCGCTGCTCAACTTACAATGCGCCTCCCACCGTCTCTTTTCCCAAGCTCTTAGAATTGCCGAGCTCAATTGACGGGGCGTATTAACCGTAACCTATGACACCTTCATGTACTGTTTGTTGCTGGCTGCATGGTGTTTGGGACCGTGTAAAAAGATAAAATATCTCAACATCAACTCACCATTACACACCATGAACTAGTTTTAAACAATTTTTTTATTTTACCGGGTGAGGCCCACTGAGCTATGTAGATGCTTTTCAGAACCGACCTGGCTATCACAAATTATCGATCAACTTAGTGGCTCATGTGGAAATGTATAGCAGCAGCCAAATAGTCCAAGAGCATGTTTCTAAACATGGAGGGAAAAACCGTAAACATTCACGCGACCACGGGGAAAACATTAAAGCTCCAAACATACATCAGGCGTCAGGCTCGGGATTGAACACACGACCTCCTGTATACCAGGCGAGGGAGTTAACATCCCATAGCCACCTCGGCTGCATACGCGTGACACAGAAGGGCGTGACGTCGCCACCGTTTATGCAACACAAAATCTTGCTCTGACCGACACATAACGCGACCGTAGTACACGTTGTGTCCTTCTCCCCACCAAACAATATCCCGGCTGTGATGTCATGAGACGAACCCAAGTCAGAAACCTCGCAGAGCGGTGAGTGCAGCGTCACCCCGTGCCATTGAGAGAACGGCCCAGAGAAGTGGACGTCGCAGAACTACCACCGAGATCACATTCGATTGCCCGCCTGTGGCTCACAACACAGTAGCGCTTCCCTTCCGCTCCGCGTGTGTGTGAGCAATCACAAGTAGACATCCTTATCGCCACTATTTGCCGATAAGCACTGGCTCTCTGAAAGCCATAAACACTTCAGAGATATGCAAGGCTACGTTTCGCTCTAACCGGGCATCGGCCAACTACACACCCCCCCCCCCCCCGGCTACAGGCTGGCGGCAGCGAGCGCGGGGATTGTGGCCATACTTCACCACGCCGGTCAGCGCGGGTTGGTGACGGCGGGGGGAACGGGCGAGGGAGCAGATTGATATTTAAACGAGTTACCAAGGAGAGCCTCACAGAGTCTCAGGATCCCTTTCCACTTATCTCCTGCTACAATGGGCATGTTTGGCCAATGCTGAGTGTTTATAAACCGGAGAGCACCCAACCAGAAGCATAGAAGCACAGTACAACAACTCTGATGCACGACCCTCTTCTGCTGGGCACCATGAACACTGGATATCGACAAGTTTGGAGCTCATCAGCGAGCCAACTCCATCTATTTGACAGCCATCAACACTCAGACAAGGCAAAGATCCCCCGTGTAGCCTGAACAGACTGAAGGGGCAAGTGCTGTTAGCGAGTAGCGCCTATGAAGGCCGGCACGGCCAGCACCACGCCTGTCTCACCAGCTACTCGAGGCCGAGTCGACCTAGGGGAGGTCCAGGACCGGTTCAGATAATCGTCACTGGGTGTTGTTGGCCGTGAGCGGGGATCGAGCCCGAGCCGCGGGCTCGTAGCGCGAACACCGAGACCGCAACACCCCCCCCCCCCAACACCAGCAGCTACCCGCCGCCCGGGGCAACCACCAATCCCGGGCAGGCGCCTAGGCGAGGCCGGGGAGATCGGCTCTGGCAGGCCGCGGCCTCACCGGGCGAGTAGAGGTCCGCCAACTCGCGCGCCCCCGCGTGCTGAGGCCCCCAGCGCGGGGCGCGCTCCTCGCGGGCCTCCTCCTCGGGCTGGTTCTGGTTGGGGTCCTCCTCGGCCATGGAGCCCCGCGCCCGAGGTGCCTCACACGCAGCCGCCGCCATCGCTGCGTCCCGCCCGATGACGCCGCCGCCGCCGCGGCCGCGACGGGGGCGGGCGGCATCGCGCCACTCCACGCGGACCAATCACGACGCCGGTGACGTCACAGGGCCCCCTAACCCCCCCCCCCACTTAGCCCCCACCCTAAAACAACCGCGATGATTGACGCCTTTGACATCACCAACCATTCCATTCCACTGCCCTCAAAATTAGAATTAGGATTTAGATTTAAGAATAGATTTTCTTTTGGTGGGGGAGGGGGAGTCAGAACGTTACAACGACAACAAACGATTAAAAAAACGATACGAGTGCAAAGTATAGGAATGGGTCAGCAACTCACTTACAAATGTACTATGAATTCTAGATTTGAATCTTTCGTGACTGCAGGGATTCATACTCTTTGGTTTTTTCGGTAAAGTCACGTAGGTAAAAAAATAAATTAAATGACAACAACTAAATTAACTAACGACGTTTCGGGCACAACACAAGCGTCCTTCTCCAGGTGGGGACAACGTAGCGAAAGCACCACAACCGCTGAAGTGTGTCTAAGAGCTGGCTGTGACGAGGAGTTATTATATAGTGGCGGGGGATGGAGGAGGGGAGGGGCCATGGTGAGTGTGTGGGCGGGCTGTGCACTGGGAGGCAACGCTGTGAGGAACGGGGAGGGCGCTGGGAGGCAACGCGTGGAGCTCAAACTGAAGCTTTGTGATGCAGGGGGCGGAAGTAGATAAGAAAGCTCAGATTAAGCAGCCTTTGCTATTGCTTCAGGCTTCAGTTTGAGCTCCACGCGTTGCCTCCCAGCGCCCTCCCCGTTCCTCACAGCGTTGCCTCCCAGTCCACAGCCCACCCTCACACTCACCATGCCCCCCTTCCCCTCCTCCACCCCCCGCTACTATATAATAACTCCTCGTCACAGCCAGCTCTTAGACACACTTAAGCGGTTGTGGTGCTTTCGCTACGTTGTCCTCACCTGAAGGACGCTTGTGTTGCGCCCAAAAGGTCGTTAGTTAATTTAGTTGTTTCCATTTATTATATTTTTAACCTACGGTGACTTTACCGAAAAAAAATACAATGAGCCAAAAATGTCTGTGTGTCCCGCGCGTGACGTCACTCCACGTCGGCCAGCCCCCCTCATTAATAATCATCATGAACAGGTGACGTCCACCACATGGACCGCCCCTCATTAATAATCACGAGCGGGTGACGTCACTCCACATGTAGCACCCCCCCCCCTCATTAATAATCACGAGCGGGTGACGTTACTCCACATGTAGCACCCCCCCTCATTAATAATCATGAGCGGGTGACGTCACTCCACATGTAGCACCCCCCCCTCATTAATAATCATGAGCAGGTGACGTCACTACACATCGAACAGCCCCCAACATTAATAATCATGAAGAGGTGACAGCTTCCAAATGGACACCCCCCACCATCAAGGGGCCGTCCATAAATGACGTCACGCGATTTTGGACGAGTTTTGACCTCTCCCCTCGTCACACGGCGTCACAAAAAGTCCCCCCCTGAAATATGACGTCACAAAGCTCAAAACCATATTTCCATTTTAAAAATAAAACATGCTTCAAATCGCTTTAAACTATTGTCATTGTAGTGCGTATTTAATGTGGCGCTGCACTCTGATGTTGTCGGAGAAAACATTTATTAAAACGTTTATTCAATTAAGTAGAACGTGTTGTCTATATTTATTTAAAGTTGCGCATTTTGGTGTCAACGTCCCATTTCTCACCCCCCCCCCCCCGTCACAAATGTCTGACGTCATTTTTGGACGGCCCCTAATATTAATTAGCTGGTGACGTCACTCCACATGGGGGGGCGAGGCGCCTCCTCCCCCCTCCTCGGCGTCAACTCACAACCCTCACTACAAAGGCAGAACCCTCACGTCACGCGATCTCCGTCACGCTGTTGAGACATCAAAGTAAAAAGGACGTCTTGATGAACAAGGGATTATAACCTTTACATGAAATAAGTCCGTGTCACCGCACCCTTACAAATTGCACACGAATTGATGCAATTAATATATCACGTCCGCGGTCTGCTCTTTGCTTGTAGGTTTCAGAATTACTAAACTACACCCGTCTCTTTGACGGGCAAAAGGCTCGTATACAAATACAATTTTCCATCTTAGTAGGTACTTCCACCCACGGGTCGTGACGATGTTTTTGTTTGCCACGTCCACAGCCGCCCACGATTCAGAGCACCGAGTGGCGGTGTCTTCTATGTTCGGCTGCGAGAGCAGAGGCGCGTGTCCAGAACGATTGCCTGGATCATCTTGATGTGAAGCTTTCGCGACTGCAGGAATCCAGACTCTTTAGTTCTTTCAGTAAAGTCACGTAGGTAGAAAATAAAATAGATCACGACATTTCGGGCGCAACACAAGTGCCCGTCATCAGGTGGGAAAGCTTGATCTGCTGCTGATTCAGACTGTTTTAAAAGGTTTGCAATGGGTGTAGCCCAAGGGTCATAAAGAAGTGGGTGGGGCTAGTGATGTTAATGTGAGAAATTAGCATGTAAATGTAAGAGTGGAGAGCGGCCTCCTCGACGAGGGCATGGAAGTGGCTATGTTAATGTGAGAGATTAGCATGTTAATGTGAAATCGAAGAGTGGTGCAATCCAAAGGATGCAATCCAAAGGGCATGTGAGCATGAGAGTGCAATCCAAAGGCATGAGAGTGCAATGCAACGGACATGTGAGCATGAGAGATCGAAGAGAGAGGCATAGAGAGAGACGCAGAGAGTCGAAATAACAGCTGACGGAGGCAGGTAGGATGGAAACATCACAGTCAGTTAAGACTTTACCTGGTTAATAACGTCCTCCCAATGCTTGCTCAGTTTGTACCCATCCTCTCGGTTGAAGTTGTGTCTGTGTTTATATATTTGGATGGGTCCATGAACAAATCTCTGAAGGTAGCCGGTAGGTTTGCAGAGTACCTCCGTCTTGGAAAAATCTATTTCATGTGAGCCCACAGCATTAAAACAATCATCAGCCACGGCTGAGGTATTGGTCCTACCGTGTTTCGGATCTGCCTTGTGTTCACAAACGTGGTCCGAGACATGTCGTTTCATACTTTCGTTTCCCCAATGTAACTGCTGTCGCAACCACAACTCAGTTTGTAGACACGAGGGTATTGCATGTCAGGAATCACATCCTTTACAGATGGGATTAAATCACGGATTTTGTGTACTGTGTTGAAACGAACCTGGATATTGTTTAAAATTTTGGAAATATTTTTCGTAACCCCTGCTATGTATGGCAAAGTGATGGTTATGGTTGGATCCTCAGAAGGTTGTCTCCCCATGGCTGGGGAAACAGCTTTGCGGATTGTACGGTCCGAGTATCCTTCATCCTGAGGGCTTAGTGTACGTGCTCAAACTCACTGACTAGGTAGTGCTGGTCGGAGATGCAACGTGCCCGATGGTGTAGTGTTTTGATTAGGGAATTCTTCTGGGCTGGATGGTGGTGGGAGTCAGGCTTTAGATCGGCATCCATGTGGGTGGCTTTCCTGTAGACCGAATGTCGATCTCCAAGAAAGCCACCCACACTACACCATAGGGAGTTTGCACGTGGTCCCGTGGATTTTTTCTCTGGGTCCTTTGGTTTTTCGTTCCACATTTAGAATCAATATCACGCACTTAAGAGTATTTGGCGACTGCTAAACATTTCCACACAAGCCACTTCGCTATCATTTGCAGCCATGTCGCTTCTGAAAAAGAGCTCAATAGCTGCTGGAGAGCTGTGAAACAGACCTTCAAAGCTCATCGGATTCCTCCAGTTTCAATATTTTGATTCTGGGTGTGTCGAGGCCGTTGTGTAAAAGTGGGAAGTGGGTGACGAGAGCAAACCAATTGAAAAGTGATTTCTTTACAAGGGCTTGTCTCGAGTTTGTTGTGCTTCCCCCGCACCTCCGACTAGCACGGTTGGCTGCGTACGGTGCGAAAGAAGTTGAACACGCACACAGACAACGCAGAGCAGTGGACTCGAGTCCGTTTTACAGAGAATAGTCACCTCAATATCTCTAATTAATATTCCTGTAACTCGCTTTTTTTCTAATTGTGCTCCGAGTCATCACAATGGAATGTGCCCGGGCCCACTTTTAATGATTCGTTGTAATGTTTAGTGATTAACATTCGTGTCTGTGCAACGTTCTCTTTAGGAGTCCTTGTGTGAGATGGAGCCAGTCGATTTTGCTCCAATTTACACAAACTAAAGACGTTTTTCACGATTGCGTGCTTGATTTAATATTACAGTAATTGATCACTTGTAGCGTAGATACAATCACCATATCTCCCTTATAAATCCATTAATTTCACCATTCGAGTCAACTATTTGATTAATATTTTGTACAATAAGCATTTTTATAATACTGTGCCTCAGTCTCGTCAGATCTCAGCTCAGCAGAGGTTTGAGCCTGGATAGTGCTTGGAAGGACGACCACCACCACGCATAACAGGTGCTATAGGCCACGCCGTGGTCAAGCACAGGAACAGATCGCCCTGCATTCCTCCAGGGTGGTGAAGTATGGTCAAATATCACCTATATATAGATGACCATCTTCCTATGCACGAGGCCCTCATACATCCAGCAGTGGATTTACAAAATTGTCTGCATGTGCTGCAGTATACGCGTTCGCCACGCAATGACCGGCGTGGTGAAGTATGGTCAAATACCCCCCCCCCCCCCCCCACGGCTATCGGGCATCTCTCGTGCGTGGGGTGGGGGAGAGTGTGGGAGCCGAATTGTCAAGACTGTAGCACAAACAAAAACAAACTTGTCACGAACAAACACTGCGACAAACTTTGTTATCTTTATTACGTTTACACACGCGTGCGATAAACCACAGCCATGAAGAAGGGAAACTCGAGGCTTGGTGGAGCGCGCGTTACACACTGGCAGTGCTGCTGCTGCTGGCTGTCGGCCACACCGAGGCAGGGCTCAGAGTAACGACACACGACGTCACAACGATCACCTAACGCCACTATTCTGTACTAAACGCATCAACTTTTACCTCACACACACCACCA